GGCGTTCCGCGTAGGTACCGTAGTAGGTGCTTGGCCGCAGCCATGTGGACCTGTGCTGGGTTTGCGCATGCCCGTGTCAGTTGGTGCACTGCGTATGACAGATCGTAGCGGGTGCATTGGGCAAGGTACAGGAGACTCCCGGTGATGGCCTGGAATCTCTGCTTGTCCTCGGGTCCGAGCAGTTGGTCTTGTGGCTGCTCGGTTGATAGTTCTGCTCCATACCCGGGGGTGCTGACCGGGTTTACCTGTTCTATTCCGTATCGCTGTAGGATATCTCTCGCGTAGGGTCCTTGCGATATGGCTAGTGTGCCATGTTCGTAGTGCCGCTGCACTTCGATGCCACTTACGCGCTTGACCTCTCCCACATCTGTCATTTCGAAGCTGCCCATGAGTTCCTTCTTTTGCCTGTTGATGATCTCCTTGATTCCGCCCGTGATTAGGATGTCATCGACGTAGATCGCGAGGATTGTGAGTTCGTCCCCCCTTACGAAGATGTAGACACAGGGGTTAGAGTGCGTGCGCTGCCAGCCGAACATGATGAGTCTGTCATTGATGGCGTCGTTCTACAGTGACGGGACTGTGACAGGCCGTACAGACTTTTCTCCAGTTTGTAGACCATCATTTCACCTGTCGTAGGGTCCCTCTCCTCGTCGCCTGGCGCCGGCCTGACGTAGACGTCTCTGTCGGTGTACGCGTTCAGGAATGCAGCTACCACGTCCAATTGGTACACCTCCCATCCGTGTTCGCAAGCGATGGCGAATAGCATGCGGATGCTACCCAATCGGGTTACTGGAGCGTAGTTCCTTCCGAAGTGTCGTCCTGCTCGTTGGCGGTGTCCCCCCGCGACTAAGCGGGCCTTGAAGCGGCTGTCGGCCTTGATCTTGAACACGAAGCGTGTGTCGAAGATGTCCTCATCCTTCGGTACCAGGCTGATGCGTACTTTCTTAAACACTTTGTGCTTGGCGAGTTTACCCGTCTCGGTGTCGATAGCGCTCTTCCACTGCTCGCGTTGTGGTGAATTCATGGCTTCGGTGTACGTGCTCGGTGTTTTGATCTCTTGGTTTGTCTCCCCCAAGAACCCTTTGCTCGAGGTGCCCGTGGCGTAAGCATACGCCTGGCGTCTCCATCCAGGTGAGCAAAATCCGCCGCGTCAGTAGGGCACCGTTGCTGCGCTTGGTGGGTGAGATCGAGTAGTTGATCATCGGTGAGCTCCAGTGGGTCGGGGTGGCTGATAGCCATGGTAGAGTGGCCTCTGTCGTTCATGTTCGCTTCCGAAGATGGCGAAGCGGAGTCCGTGCCTGTTGGCGTCGTGGGTGTTTCGAGTGTCGTGCCCTGCGATGTCCTGGATGGTGTCGTAGTCCGCGGGTTGTTGTTGCTGTCAGCTCCCCCAGCAGCAAAGTAGTTGTCGGAATCCATGCCCGCGTTGTTTTGGCGAAGTTCTGCTCGGCTGATGTTGTCTTGCTGCATGTTGCGCATCTCGTGCAGCAGGAGCTCTGATTGTGTTCCGTAGTCCACTTTGTTGTCTTCGTCGCCCGTAGAGGTACGGCGTCCGAGCAATGACGTGAAGTTCATCACGTCCTGTTCATATCCGAGACGGTCGTCCCACCGGTGAGGGGGGATGGTGTTGGGTGGAGTCTCGATGAAAGTCACGTTCCGGCTCTCGTAGACCTTGTCTTTGCCCTCCACGTAGATCCGGTACGTGTTGCTGTCAGGTCCGTAACCGCAGAGCTTGCCTTCAAAGGCCCGATCGTCTAGCTTCTTCTTGTATCGCTCGTGATGAACGAACGCGCGGGCGCCGATGACACGAAGTCGAGAAAGGTACGGAANAAGTCGAGAAAGGTCCGGGGTTGTGTTGTACATCTTGGAATACGGCGTGGCTCCCCCTAGCGCCGCGTGTGGGGTCCTGTTGGTCAGGTATGCTGCAGTCATCATGAGCTCCCCCCACATGTGTTTTGGGAAGTCTCCATCGCGCAGTAGAGCTCGAGTCACAGCCGCAAGTGTCTGGCCATCCCTTTCTGACACTCCGATTTCTTGGGGCGTGTTGGTCGCGGCGAATTCCAGCTTGATCGCAGACTCCCTACAGTAGTTGCGCATTTCTTCCCCAGTGCTCTCTCCCCCTTTGCCACAGCGTAGAACCTCGATGCGGTATCCTTCAGATGCTACTTGCATGTTGTAGGCTTGCAGACCTTGCGTGGTTTCGGTCCTGTCGCGCAGTAGGTACACTTCCCGCATTCTGGTAAAGACGTCGGTCGCTTTGGCGACACATNGCTTGATCGCAGACTCCCTACAGTAGTTGCGCATTTCTTCCCCAGTGCTCTCTCCCCCTTTGCCACAGCGTAGAACCTCGATGCGGTATCCTTCAGATGCTACTTGCATGTTGTAGGCTTGCAGACCTTGCGTGGTTTCGGTCCTGTCGCGCAGTAGGTACACTTCCCGCATTCTGGTGAAGACGTCGGTCGCTTTGGCGACATAGGAGTAGGTGCGTCCGTTGTACTTCGCAGGCGGGTCGATTGGTCCCATGTTGTCGAACTGGACGAGTTGGCCTGGTTTGGTCAAGACACGGATGGTTTCTTCGGAACGGGAGCCTTCTTGTGCTTCGTAATGTGGCAGTTGTCGCACGGGGATACAGGTCCGTCATATTTCACACCTGTGGCGGGGTTGCGCCGCAAAATCTCCATAGCACGTGGATTGATGTGGCCGAGGCGCCGGTGCCAGAGGTCGGCGCTCACGCTCATCGCCACTGAGCATGTCGCGTGCGGAGTGTGATCGATCTGTACCGCTTCTGGTTTTCCGAACTTCGGCTTGCGCCCTGGTTCTTGGTTGTTCGGGGGTGTCTTGCTTGTCGACGCTGGATCGCCCTTGAATGTGATGGCGAGGGTGCACATGCCTTGGTCTTGAATCTCTTGTTTCAGAGGAACGACGCCTTCTCCGCCGATGGTGAGGTGCGGGGTCTTGTCTTCCAGGACACATCGTAGGCCCTTCTTGAGAAGGGCCGTTGGTGCGAATATGTTCCGGCCTAGTCCTGGCAGGATGAGACCTTGTAGCTTGACGGGTAGTTGCTGTTCTTTGTCGTCTTTGATGGTGCAGTGTAGGA